TGAATACTCTTGAGGTGAGAAAGTATTTTTAAAATTTTGTTAGATTGATAGAGAAATCTTAAAAATTATTTTTAATATTTTAAACACTAAAATTTAATAAAAGACCATTATAACCAAAAAAATTCTTAGGATAATTTAAAATAAAATGGTACCGTCTTTTGGATAGGCATATGGGGTGCAGTAACCTTCCCAATATGTAACCAAACTCTTGAACTTTGTTCTAATTAGTAAACCAAAACCTATTCTTTTAGGAATCTTTAGTCAAGCTTAAGATTTTCTTAAAAGGATAGATTCACTTAGGTGACCAATCACACCTTAATAAAAGATTGGTGACAACTCCTTAAATTGTGTCTAGCTATAAATATACAGATTTATACGTTATGACACTCTTCATTATGATCACATATTCAAGTTCTTTTATAAGGATTAAATCCCAATTCAATTCAAAAAAATTTTAATTCCACAAGATCTAGGAAAAATCTCCATGATTTGATTTTGTGTAATATTTCTTTTTTTTGCATGAATTAAGCCCTAGGCTTTCCATAATTGATTAAGCAATGAATTATTGAATATGAGATTAAATCTAATTGAATCAAATCCAAGGACAATTTGCCAAGACAAATCATATTCTTTTTTTTTTTACTTTGACCAATAAAATAAGATAAAATAAAAATAAAAAATAAGACTTTTGGGTTTTTAATTCTTAGGTCCAAAATGGGGTGTCTATAATGCATATACCTTAAACTCAATGGGAATAAGGATATCTTTTGTATTTTATAAGTGGATAACATCTTACTAGCTTGTAATGATATTGGTTTGTTGCATGAAATTAAGCAATTATTATCCAAGAGTTTTGACATGAAAGATCTTGGGAATGCCTTTTTTTGTTTTTGGGATTGAAATTCATAGAGATAGGTTTCAAAATTTGTTAGGACTATCTCAAAGATCTTACATTAATTGTGTGCTTGGTAAATTAACATATAAAACTGTAAAGCTGCGGATAACCCATTATGAAAAGAGATAGACTTATTTTCCAAAAAATGATTTGAAGAAAGAATCTATGAAGAATATTCTATATTCTAGTGTAGTTAGGAGTCTTATGTATGCTCAAGTTTACACCAGGCTAGACATTGCTTATGCAGTGGGGTTTTTGGGAGATATCTTTATAATCCTGGTATGGATCATTGGGTTGCTACTAAAAAAGTGATGAGGTATTTGTAAAAGACCAAAAACTATATGTTGGTATATTGAAAGGAGGATAATATTGAGATAGTAAAGTATAAGGATTTTGACTTCGCTAATTTTCAGGATGACATGAAGTCCACTTCAGAGTATATTTTTATATTGGCTAGAGGAGCTATGTCTTGAAAGAGTGTGTTTCAAAATAATGTGAAACAAACACTCTTTGTTTCTTCTACTATGTAGGTTGAGTTTGTTGTATGTTATGAAGGTGCTACGTAGGCAATTTGGCTTAAGAATTTTATTTCAAGCCTTAGTATTATTGATTCCAACTCTAAACCATTGAAAATTTATTTTGACAATTGGTCTACTGTATTGTTTTCTGAGAATAATAATAGTACTAGTAGGTCTAAATATTTGGAGATAAAATATCATAAAGTTAGGAATTTTGTGAAAAATGGTGAAATTGTTGTCGAACACATTAAGACTGACAACTTGATTGCTAATTTTTTGACTAAGGGATTAAGCCTTATAGTGTTTGGTAAACATGTTAAAGAGTATGGATATTTTGAGGTCTTTTGATGTAATTAATTAGTGTGAGTATAACATTTGTATTTTATACTTACATATCATGGTTTATCTTTATAGTGGACCCATTGTTTTAAACTTGAAATATCTATGTGATATTGATTCAATGCTTGAATGATGATCATCATTGGTTGATATTTTATATTATTATTTTATTTTGTTAGTATATATACACTTGAAAAATTAAAGTTTATTATATACAAGACTTGGTGTCTGTCTTAAGTATGATTATTTTGTCACTTGGGTATGTCTCATATATGACACTAGTAAGAAACCTCGAGGATATTAAGGGGACATTCAGACACATCTAGATGCTGTGCAGATTTCTAAGCAAGTTTAAGGAAATTGGCAAGAAACTTGACAATAAAAATAACACATTGAGATCACATTTATGTGTTATTTTCTTATTACAAAGTCACACTGAGATCTATTATCGATAAAGTCACTAGTACTTATAATTATGGGTTAGTCTTATATTAAAGAATGGCATAAAGACTATCATGATTCGATATTAGATGGTTTTGTTAGATAAGATCATTAAAATATTGTCTCAAATGGCTAAATTATTTTTAAAATTATGACGACATCAAGTAAAATAAGTCAACTTGATCTTGTTTTCAAATCAATTTTTTTTTAAAATTAAACAACCCAATTAATATTGCCCAAGTAGGAGTGTTAGAATTTTTTTATAAATGGTTACTATGAATTGATGATTTTAATAATTTAATAAAACCAGCTGATGAGTTTAGTTTTAATACGAGCTAAGCACGAGAGTCTAAATAATTTAATGTGATTACCTAAGTGTGAGCTTTGCACATCTTACTAGGCTAGTATGGTTTGGCGGTTGTATAAACCTTTGGCCGAATAAGCCTTTGATGGGAGGCTTTTAGAGTTGTTTAATTAATAAAGCTAAGGTCCCTTTTCATTTTTATGAGTTATGACAATTGCTATCGAGTGCCACCAATAAGAAAAGAGTGAAGAAGAAGATGTAGCCACTTTAAAGATCGTTTTGCTTTCGTGAATTTATAGTGAAATAGGTATGCTTAAAAGACATAATAGGTATGACCATCCGCGAATTCATTATGGTATTTTAATTTTCACTCAAGGATCTTAAGTTAGAGTTTACATTTTTCTTATTAATTTTTAACATCTCAGTTGCTTAAAAGACAACATTTTTCTTAGTAATTTTATCATGTCAATTGCTTAAAAGACATTAGAGTTTAGATTTTTCTTATTACTTTTAATATCTCAGTTGCTTAAAAGACATCGAAGTATAAACAGTGTAAATAGCACAATCTAAGTGAAGTTTCAGCGCAGATAATTCTTATGTGGGCCCTTTGTTCTTTTTTTTTTTTTGCTTGCCCCGTATGGCAGAGGGTTGTATATAATGGGAAGAGTCGAGTTAGGGTCCTCCAATGTGGCAAAAGTAATAAAGTAAACTATCGAAATAATTAATATAATGCCATTTGATTTTTTTATTGATAATATTAATCTAGATGATAAGCATACTTACTTTGTTATTATTTATTAATAGCTTATCTGCATGGAGATAAAGATAAAAAGTTTTTTCCCAAAAGACCTTTTATGACAATTTATCTCTCGTACAAGATCAGCTTCTTCAGTCAATTGATCCGAATAGACTATCGTTGTCTTCATCATCGTATTAAGCTCATTGTCCGAGAGTGGTCTAAGCTCTTCTCAGATCTTCACCATCCCAAGCACATCCACCCCTAGGTTCCGATTGGAACAACACCTTTACTACTAGCAATCTCTTCCTTAATCAACGATCCATACCAACAAGCCATGCAAGCTTTATCTCAAATGCATAACAATATTTAATTCTTAATGCTAGAAATGAAAAAGCTATGATGAGAGCAATCCTAACTGTTCTAACCTTTCCTTCTTCTTTGTCTTCAACGTCTCATCATCCCCACTAAATAGTTCTTGAGGATATATTAAGGATATTAATATCCCATCATCATTGAGCTTTAGCTCTTCATTTTGGGTGATATTAACTAAAGATATATTTTCTCATGGTGTATTTAAGATAGGAGATTGGCATAGAAGATGTGGAGATAGAATTGATGAGTATATATAAAAATAAGTGTACCATCATGTTTTCATGATTAATAGTTTAATTTATAAAAAACAATTTTTTTTTTAAAAAATTTATATATGTATGTATTAACATTGTTATAAAATATTTTCTTTGCAATTTATGAATTATCACGTTTATTGTTCCCATTATTTTTTTCTGTATTGATTTTTTACTTGGAATTCAACTTTGACCCTTTTTAAATAAAATCATAAAATTAAAACAATTTTTAAAATAAGATTTGTAAAGTTTAAGTTTCAAAAATTTCGGAACATATGAAAAACTATGTAAAATTATTTCTAGATGCCTCCAACATTTTTTTTTTATTTTCAATCAAATTATTCATATATGAAAAAAATATTATTTTCTTTAACTTTGTAACATAAGAATTTTTTTTTTCAAAAAGGGATATTTCAATATAAGCATAAAACAATTGAAGTGAAGATGAAATTATTTTTTTTATTCTGATAATTTAATTAATGTATACTTTATTATATATTTTAAACATTATCCAGCCTATATCATTATGTCTAAAAAAGTATCGTGAGATTTTTTCTCATTTTTTAAACCAAATGCATTATTTTTAACTTTAAAACTTACAATCACATAAATTCATTATTTTAAGTTTAAAATTGACAATTACATAAATTTGAGAGATATTTATGAAAAGATTCATATAGACTTGATAATTTATATATTTATATCATATTTATTTTGTGTTAAACATAAATAAAACATGAAAATTATCATGAATTAGTCTATGCATTTGTTACACTCTTAAATATAATTTTTATCTTCATTTCATATAAGATGAAAGGCACAAATTAATTAAAGAAACTAATTTGAAGTGATAAAATTTAAGTTTTCAATTTAATATTTTATTATTATATTCAATATTATTATTTATAATAATTTTAGATATTTTATTCTTACTCAAATATTATTTATTTATGTTTTAATTTTTTAAAAATTTAATTTTATTATGTTGATATTTTAATTATATTATATATAATTTAAATAAATAAAAATAATTTGTACATCTTACAAATAACAAGCTAATTAAATCCTATATGTAAACCTCTCTAATTCGAATAGGGGAAATTAGGACAAGATATATTACACGCGTGCAAGGGTAGTATGGCCAATTTACTTTATGCCTTCCATCTCCGTATATATTTGTGCTCCAGCTTGAAAAAAATTTCCATAGCCGTCCAGTTTAAACCCATCATCACAAAGATCTTCACAATCTCTCTGCGAGCCTAACACGTAAGTTAATTAATATTATTATTTATCTCTTTTTCAAATATATCTTTAATTGTATGACATAGAATTTCTTCTATTTTAATTCTCCATACTTCCACAAAATTAGGGTTTTATTATTATTATTATTATTATTATTATTATTATTATTATTATTATTTCTGGTTTCAGCTAAGAAGAAATGACTACTGAACAAACAAAATCATCAACCGAAGACGTAAAGATGGATTTATTTGAAGATGACGATGAGTTTGAAGAATTTGATATCGAAGAAGGTAATTCTTTTTCCCTTTTTGTCTCTACTTTTTTTTTTTTTAAATTTTCGTGGAGACTAATGTTTAATTTTAGGTTTATGTTAACTAATTAGCTTAATTGTTTCGTTTTCTTCCATATTTTTGTTAATGTTGAATTATAAACTTATATTGAGCGGTTCGTTTTCTTAAATTTTTACTGTTCTGGTTGTAATTAGATTGGGAATTTTTTTAAGCAGCTTTTATTTAATAATGAGGGAGAGTATATTGCGGCAATACTTGTTTGTGTTGAATAGGTCATTGCTTCTATTGGAAATAGCATTTGAAAAATGTGATAATATGAATATAATGTTTTCAATGACTGGTTGCAAATTTGGCTGCAAATCCATTTATTTGTTAGTATGTATTGTTTCCCTTGATACCTGATACATATATGATGCTGGAGCTCATTTACTGGTTATGAGGGGCAACTATCTACCATTGGAGTGCTTGTTTATGCAATTAAATTCCCAACTTTGTACATGGATGATATTTGACTAAGATAATCAAATGAAGTGGATCTCTTAATAACTTGATACCAGATTAAGAGAATGTAATGAAATGGATCTCTTAATCACACTTGCAAAGAAATGAATAACTTCACTCTCTTGAGTATATAGGTTTCATCATCCCCAAGAAAACAAGAAAAGAACATTCCAACAAAATTTTACCACTCTAAAAAAAATTTAAACAAGTTCACCACTAAATAATCCACATGAGATGTAGAGCTTAAAGGAAAGATAAACACAATGTTTCTTTCACTCAAAATACAAGCTGTCAATTTAAAACTTTACATTACATGAGGGGTATTTATAGTTGAACTTGGAACATCTTAACAAGAATAGGAAAAGTTAAGTCAAAAGAACAAACACAACTATGCATGTTGGAATTATTATGGAACAAAAAAAATTAATGTTGTTAGGAATTATTAAGGACACAAATTCTAAAATTCATAAGGTTCTCCTTGGGGGCTGGAATTAATGTTATTGCAAAACCTTAATTCCAACAATTGTGATGGCATCCAAGGGGCATCCGATGGTCCAGAGTATGGTTGGAACATTGTTCAATTATTCCTCCCTGTGTGTGGTTGGCTTTTTCTAAATTTGACCTTGTGAAAGATTGGATTTGAGCCTTAACTTTGAAGAATTGGGCTGGTTGGTGGTAGATTCTTGTTCATTAATTTGGGCCTTTGTATGATAAACTCAATGGGCCTAGATTGACGACTTGCTTTTGTATATACTCGTTCTCGTTTTCTTTATCTTTGAAGTATGAAGATAATTTAGACACATTGAAAGTGGTTGAAACTCCATAATTTTCTGGTAGTTTTATTTTGTAAGCACCTTGAAGAACTCTAAATGATCCATCATCTGGTGGTAAGAGGTTAGAATGTTCCCGGTTATGAATCTTTTCTTTTCTCAAATGAATCCAAACCAAGTCACCCTCCTTCAATGCAACTAACTTTCTGTATTTGTTGAATTACACTCTGAATAAGAAGGCACGAGCCTGTCCTTGTGTATGCTTTCAAGTAGGTTCTGGTTTCACGAGAGTTAAAACAATACTCATCTTATCTTTTGCAAATGTGTAAGTCTTCTATAGCCATCATGAACAACCCTTCTATCATATTTCCAAGGTCTCCCCAACAACATGTGACAAGCATCCATAGGTATAACGTCACACCAAAGAAAACCTTGATAGTGTTTGTCAATTGAAAACTGAAGTAAACAGTTATTTCTCAGCTTTAATTTGTTTTCTTTTGTCAGCCATTGAATCTTGTATGGTTGTGAATATTCTTTTGATTGTGATTGTAGCTTCTCTACCATGGTTGATGCCACCAAATTTATGCAGCTTTGTCTCATCAATAATGACACAACATACCTTGTTATGAGATGTGCATGTAGTATGAAAGATATTCTCACGTTGTCATACATCTTCATTTCCAACTGCAACGTCAAGTCTTTTTTGAGTGACAAGGGTTTGACCTTCATTTCCATACTCCACATATTTATCATATTTTGGTTCAATTTGCTCTATTGTGTCATTGGAGGTGTCTTTGAACTCTTCTTCCACCAAAGTACTAATTTTGTGATTAGAACATTCAAATGCTATATATCCAAATCCTTGACATTTGAAAGACTTGGGTGATCTGGAACTAGAAGAATTAAGCTATTTGGAGTTGGTTCCCATTGAAATTTTAGATGAAAACTATGGTAATGTACTCATTGTAGAATTTTTTGAGAAAGAGGCTGAAGCACCACTGTGATTAATAGGATTTGAACAAAAAGCTAATTGGAAAGCTACTTTTTCATGCCTCTCGTTATTGCTTCTCAGAGCAAGCTTCCTTACATGATTAAAGGTCTAATAGGATTGTGGACATACTGGGTTGCTGATTTCCTCTTTCAAATCACCCAAATAGCGAGCTATTATTAGCTCTTCACGTTCTATCACATCACATTTAAGTATAAGATTTTCAAACTCCATGGTATAATCTTCCACAAACATCTTCCTTTGCTTGAGATTATGAAATTTGATGAAGTTATCTTGCCTATAATTATGAGTTAAGAGTGTTCTCAATTTCCTCTGCAGTTTATCCCAAATCTTGATATTGCTTTTTCCTTTACGACTCCGTTGCCTCTTCAAGTTTTTCTACCATAAAAAGCATATTCTTAATTTGATGGCAACCAACTTCACTTGGCAACTATCAGAATACTTTTTTAGTTCAAAAACTCTTTCAACCATGTAAAGCCAATCAATGAACTTATATGATTGCATCATGACAATTATAGTCACAAACTTTGTTTCTGGTGATGATGAAAAAATCATCATTAGAATTACTCCTTGCACGTTGATAGAAAAGGGTTTTATGTTTCTCCATCCTTGGATGAGTAGCTATTAAAACTTTGTTAAGTATTGTGACATTCATAACGTTCATGATGTTGCTGCAGTTTTTGAATCATTTGTCTATTGTCATCAAATACTTGAGCAAAAATTTTCTCTTCACATGCTTCATCGGTAAACATTCTTCCAAGAACAAGCTTCATTATGTAAAGATTAGATTACAAAGTTTTAAATAATATCATGTTTAGCACGTTTCAAAGCTCTTTTTCCAAGTTGATACTGGATTAAGAGAATATAATGAAATGGATCTCTTAATAAGTTGATACCTGACTAAGAGAATGAAACAAAATGAATTTCTTAATTACACTCACAAAGAAATGGATAATTGCACTCTCTTGAGGTTATAAGTTTCACCACCCCAAAGAAAACAAGAAAAGATAACTCCAAAGTTTAAGGATTCAAAAGTTCACCATTCTAAAGAAAATAGCTAAACAAGTTCACCTCGCTATGACAATCCATTCAAGAGATACAAAACTTAAAGAAAGATAAAACCAATAATTCTTTCACTCAAAATGCTAGCCGTTAATTTACATTACATAAGGGATATTTATAGTTGAACTTGACATATCCTTCTAAGAAGAGGAAAAGTTAAGTCAAAAGAAAAAACACATATATGCTTGTTGGCACATTTGTGGTGCAAACAAAATTATTTCCTTAGAAATTGTTAAGGACACATTCTAAAAACTCATAGGGTTCTCTTTGCAGGTGGGAATTAATATTATTGTAAGACCTTAATTCTAGCAACTGTGATGGCATCCAATGATGAAGAGTGTGGTTGGAATTTTGGTCAATTATTCCTTCCAATGTGGTTGGCTTTTTTAGAATTTGACATTGTGAAAGATTAGATTTGAGCTTTGCATTATTTTGATGAATTGGGCTAGTGGATGGCAGATTTTTGTTCATTAATTTAGGCCATTGAGTGGATAAACTCAATGGGCTTAGATTGAGGACTTGCTCCTGCATCATTCTCATCTGATTAATGTAAAAGAATCTATTGATCCTCATGGCAATGATAGTTTCAGCCACTTTTGACCATTGGATGCCCCTTAGGTGCCCTTTAGATGCCATCATAGTTGTTGGAATCAAGATCTTAGAATAATATTAATTTCAGTCCCAAAGGCAAATCTTATGAGCTTTTAGAATTTGTGCCCTTAATAATTCTTAACAACGTAGTTTTGCTTGTTTCATAATAATGTCAACAAGTATAACTGTGTTTGTTCTTTTTATTATTTTTAGAAGGATGTTCCAAGTACAACTATAAATACCCCTATTTTAACGTAAATCGATAGCTTGCATTTGGAATAAAGATGACAATATTATCCTTATCCAATGCGTTTTGACCTGTCCTGAATCGATAAAGGGGTTTTTTAAAATCGGGATCGAGTCAAGGATGGATTTTTTAAAAATTTGTGTCGGGTTGAAGGCGGGTTTAGTGTGCCTCACCCCTAACCATGTCGTGGTATATATATATATATATATATTTATCATTTATTTAATTTTATATATTATATTAATAAAATTATGTTTTAATATCTTAATTTAAGAGATTAATTTAATAAAAATATTACATTTATATATGATTAAGATGTAATTTATATTAAAAAATTATACTAAATTAAAGTCATTGAATTAATTTCGCGTTGAGTTTAGTCAGATCTGGGCTATACATGTGTAGGGTCAGGATCAGATGTAATTATTAAGAAGTCAGGGTGAGCATAAACCTGCCTTGTCTTGAACCGTTGCCACGTCTACTTTTGAGTGAAAGTAACCTTGTGTTTATTTTTCTTTAAGTTCTATATTTATTGGGTGGATTTTCCTTAAAGTGATGAACTTGTCTAGTTCTTTTCTTTAGAGGTGAAATTATGTATCCCTAGATTTTGGACTTATCTTGTTTTCTTTGGGGTGATGAAATTCATATCCTCAAGGGAGAGATCATCCATTTATGTGTGAGTGTGATTAAAAGATCCATTTCATTTCATTCTCTTAGTTCGTTATCAGCTTGTTATCAAAGCTTTGGAATGTGCTGAATCTGGTGTGTTGAAAGCTTTATAATCTATTTTTTACAAAAATGAAGCATGTTCATGGAAGAATACTTACTGAAGAAAATGCTCTTGAAAAGGCATTTCTTGATCAATGATTTAATGACATGAAAAATGATTCAAGAACTACAGCAATGTCTTGAAAGTCACAAAACTTCAAGAAGTTCTAATAGTGACTCATCCAATGATGAAGGTGATGACTATAACCCTTTCTATTAACAACATGCAAGGAGTGATTCTAGGATGATTCTTCCCATCATCACCATAATGGGAAACATTCTAAACTCTTATCATAAGATGATGGACCATTTAGAGTTCTTCAACGAGTGTGGGCATGTTCTTACAAAATAGAGATACTCGAAAATTATGGAGTTTCAGCCACTTTCAATGTGTGTCGAATTATCCACATACTTTGAAGATAAAGACATTGAAGACTCGAGGATGAGTTCATTTCAACCAGGGGAGAATGATTCAAGATCTAGTTTGAAATCTTGCAATAAGTTCTTGTTGAAAATCTATGCAAAAAAAACTGATTCTTGATTCATCGAACTTTATTTGCAGTCCTCAAGCTACTTGCCTACTCTTGTATCTAATCTGTATCTTGATCAGTAACCTAGCAAAAATGCAATGTTTAAGTATAGAATGAATGAACTATACTGACATACACTTATTGTTGGAATAAAAGCTTCTCTTAGTGTGTGCCAAAATTTAGAATCTAATAATTTTCTGGCCAAGCCCCAAGCTGAACTTACCTATGTTCATCTATATGAGTAGCAGTCTTTGCAATTCACAAGGTTTGAGATATCACCTTATAAGCCATATTATCCTTCCATGAGCCTGGCTCTAAGATTTGCTAATGATAGAGAAGTATATTTATTGTCTCCAATTAGGTATAAAAATGAAATCTCTCCTGGTTTCAAGAATTTGCTCCAGCACCATATCACAAACAATCTTTAGTAAGCAACCTGCAATTGTTGACTTGGCGTTATGTTTCTAAATGCCACTAGTTACATTATTGTATGCTGTTGCTTTCAATGATGCTGTGTGTTGCTAATTAATGTTCATATATATTTTAACTACTCGTATTATACTTTGGCTGCCCTAAGATTTATGGAACTTGATGCTTGCTGTTCTGGTATTATTGTTTGTTCTTCTGGAATGTATTGTCTGTTTCTTTTCCAAATTACTTCTACTTGGATCATTAATTTTTTGCTGCCTCTTGCCATTTCCAGTTGATGGATCTGTGTTTGGTTTCAGTTGTTTAGATAAATTCATATTATACCTTTTCTTATCTTTATTGTATTTAATTTATATGATATCTGAGTGTACAAAATTGCAATCTGAAATTTTTCATCTCCTGACAGAGTGGGCGGACAAGGAAGAAGGAAAGGAAGTGACACAGCAGTGGGAAGATGATTGGGATGATGATGATGTCACTGATGACTTCTCATTGCAACTGAGGAGGGAACTTGAGAATAACACTTCGAAAAACTGAGCTGGACTTATGCATTCTCTGTTGTCTCTATCGTTCATCTCTGCACTGAACTCTTGTTTGAATTGATATTCCTTTTCGTGCAAATGAACGTAAGAGCTTTAACCCTTTATGCTTGGATATTTGGTAGAAACTTCAAATCCAAAACTGGTTTTATGGTTCTCTGAAATGTGACATAGATTTTACTGCTGAATATCATGTGCTTGTGCCTTGTTAAAGCTATTTTTTACATGTTTGGTTATTGAAAAGCTTCATATGCTTGTGACTTCTTCACTGCCCGCAACCCATGTCAATAGCATCCCTTTTCCATGATCCTTTTTTTTGTCTTCCACTCGTACCATACATCAATGTTCAACGGTCAATGGTAGGATTTTTTTACTTATAATAAATATAAAAAATTGAATCGGGTTTATCAATTTTCTTCATTTTTTTTAAATGTCATTGAAGAAAACAATATTCAGGAAATAATTTTGGAGGTGTGGGAAATATTTTTAAATATTTTTTTTTTATTTTTCAATCTTTGGAGTGTTTAGGACACTATTATCTCATTTGGATCCGCTTCTGTCGACGTCTTCGACGGAAAATATAGGAAAATTGTAATTCATTTGCTTTGATGTACTTTCTCCTTTCAAAGGTGCAAGATAGTTTCCTGCTCAAGGCCAGCAGGAATCATATACCCTTTTCTACTACTAAAGCCCTTTGAAGTATCATTGAGCATTTTCTAAAAGAATGTCACTCCCCTAAATGGGATTAAGAAGGTTTTTTTTTCTATGATTGCGTAGAAGGTAATGTATCATAAACATTTTGAGAAGTTGTTTCGAATCCATGAAGCTTTTTGGTGGCACAGCCTTCACATGCTATCTTTCTCTGTTCCCAACCTTGTTCAAAGAACCTAAGATATGAATGGACCCAAACTCCTAATTAAATTGCATTGAAAAGGTACAAACCAAAGCTGGAGACGAAAAAAAAAAAAACAATTTAAACATCATAGAAATGCTTAATTCAAGCGATTTTAAGGCCATACGACCCATAGCCAAAATCCAATAGCAACAGTAGAAAAAATGCAGAGTAAAACACCCAAAAGGAGAGAGAAGGCAAAAGTTAACGGACTTAAACATTAAAAAAAAAAAAAGAAAAGTATTGCACGGTATGCCTAGCTATTTATGCAAAGACATGATCGGTTAAACAGGAATCATATACCAATTGATTTGATTAGTAAAAAAATAAAAAAAATGCAAACTCTTATCTGAAACTGTGTTTGTTTAATATCTTCAATTTTACGTTATTACGTACAATTCATTGGGAAAATGAAACAGAACACTACTTGGAACCCCACATCTTCATCGCAAAATGAACTGGAAGAGCTCAGTTCACTGATTCAGTCACAAAAAGGAGGGCCTTTCTCTAAACCAGTTCAACTCCATCATGGCTTGAAACTTCTCTTTGCTCTCCCAAGATCATCCCAACTTTTGACGGATCAGCAGAAGTTCGACAGATTGGACAAGTTGGTGTCTTCAACAACCAGGAGTTTATGCATTGGGAATGGAAGCTGTGCTTGCAGTTTGGCAACAATTTGCACTTGTCACCTTTCCTGAAATTCTCCAGGCAAACAACACAATCTACAGGGCTATTCCCTTTCTCAGCTGCCTTGTACTCAAAGCTAGGTAGCTTCTTTAGGTCCTCATCTAACATCTTTTTGGTTCCATTGCTGCTTATTTGAACCATGCTGCCATCTTCATACCCTCTCCTGAAAGCCCTTCCAACAATACAAATATGAATCACCACCAAAACTGCGATTCCGACAAATAAAAGTACCACAGAGAAGGCAATTTCCATAACCATAAGTAATTGTAAAATTTCCAGATAGAGTTCTTTACAACTCTGAAATCTCTCAACTTCTCATAGCAAATACGTTCCAACTTAATTATATCCAATTCTCACTCTGTTCTTTCGAAGCCATAAAATATGAAAGCATGAGAAGAAAATATCATTGATTTTTTCAAAATTCAGAACGTGCTGAATCTGATTTTTTTTTTTTTTCTGTTAGAGGTTGAAAAGGTACAGAACCAAAGAGACAAAAAAGGGGCGGAGAGACTAAGACCTGGTGCTTATTTGTGTTGAACTAGGTCTGAGAGGTTTGGTGGGTTCAGAAACAGAAAAATGGCTTTTTGTCTTTAAAAAGTGTGCAGGAGCTGTCCTCTTGTATTGCTATATTTCACAGGCCATGTGTCATGAGCCAACCTTGTATAAGGCCATGACCGGGACTTAGGTTGCCATGAGCCACCCATGTATAGGGCCATGGCCGGGTAGACCCCTTGTGTTAGGAAAAGTGTCCCCATTTCAAACATTGTAACGGTTACTGGTAGCATAGCTCTAAAATCTCTAAGGCTCTTTAGGGGGGGTGAGCCGGCAGGGTATTGTTGGGCTGTCTCACCGGGTGCTATGCGAGCTTAGGCCACCCACCATGGGCTGCCCCCCTGGCCCTGGTGATGGTGGGAGGTCCCGATGTATGATTCCCAATTTTAATGATATGTGCCTCGATTGAATGCCCGATTGTTGCCTCGATGTGTTTCTTTTCTTTCTCGATGTGAATGTGCCTTGTTGTGTGTATGGATGAGATTGATATCGATATATAGTGCCTTATTGTGAATGCTTGAGACTAACCATGGTTTATGGTTATTTGTTCAGATCTCGATCTATTGAGGGCTGACTTGGGTGGAAGCGTCCATTCAAGTGCCTCGCGGGCTAGTGCTTGTTGAGAGAAAGCTTAGTCCGTGACACGTGGTATCAGAGCCAGGTTGAGAAGTGCTAGAGAAATGGATGAGATGGCCACAAGTGGTGGACCGGATCATCGGCAGAGAATTGAGGAACTTGAGGCCGCGGTGGCCGCAATGAAAACTCATATGGTAACAAAAGACCGAGTGAGGGAGATCGAGACAACCCAGCGGGAGTTGTCCGATACTCTCCACAATGTGAGCGAAGAGGCTAGAGATGCCTTGAACATACTCCACAAGGAGTTTGAGGAGCTCAGGGCCCAGATGAGCATCCTACAAATGGCGGTGGCCAGTTCGAGTTCAAGCTCGACGGACAGGGACAAAGGCCCAAAGTACCGGAGCCTCGGTGCTTTGAGGGGGCAAGGGATGCTAAGGAACTTGAGAATTTCCTGTTCGACATGGAACAATACTTCCGAGCTGTACACACAAGTTCAGAGGAAGACAAGGTGACAATGGCATCGATGTATCTCGTAGGGGATGCCAAGTTGTGGTGGCGCTCCAAGTTTGTTGATGACGAGTGCCCGATTAAGACCTGAACAGATCTGAAGCGTGAACTGAAAAACCAGTTTTTTCCGGAGAATGTGGATTATATGGCTCGAAGGAGACTTCGAGAGTTGGTGCAAACCGGAACGGTGCGAGAGTTCGTGAGGAACTTCTCTACCCTGATACTGGATATTAGGGACATGTCCGAGAAGGACAAGTTATTCCATTTTATTGAGGGCCTCAAGCCATGGGCGAGGACAGAGCTACAGAGGCAAAGAGTGCAAGATGTGACGACGGCCATGGCTGCAGCGGAACGTCTTCATGATTTTAATGATGGTTCGTTTAAAACGGAAGAACCCTCCACCACCGGGTAGTAGCTCTAATCTTGGGAGTGGGGGAAAGATAACTAGGTTGGACCGACCCTTCAGTTGGGGATCAGACAGGAAGTCCTTTGGGCGAGATAGCATCCAGCCTAGGACAAACAACGCAGGGACCTTCAAGCCTAGGCAACCGCTTGCTTGCTTTCTTTGCAAGGGGCCGCATCGAGTGGCTGAGTGCCCGCACCGAGGAGCCCTTAATGCCTTAAGGACCTCATCCCAAGAGTCTGCAAAAGTGCCCGAGAGCGTTGAAGAAGCTGAAGAGGAGCCAGCCAGGATGGGCTCAATAAGGTTCCTCAGTGCCCTTCACACCCAATTGAACACTATAAAGAAAGAGCAAAGCAGAGGCTTGATGTACGTGAACTTGACGATCAATGGGAAAACCACCAAGGCTATGGTGGATACAGGCGCAACCGACACTTTCATCACACCAGAAGAAGCAAAAAGGTGTGGTCTTCAGATTGGTAAAGACTGTGGGCGAATGAAGGCGGTCAATTCGCCAGCCTTTGCAATCAGTGGAAGCTCGAAAAGTGTGACGACCCAATTGGGGCCATGGGAAGGGAAGGTAGACTTCACAGTCTCCCCCATGGATGACTTTGATGTCGTTCTAGGATTGGACTTCATGACGTTGGCTCAGGTGATCCCTATCCCCGCTGCTAGCTGCTTGTTGTTCTTAGGAGAACACCCATGTGTGGTGCCAGCCAATATCTTGCCAAAGAGTGGGAAGAAAATGATTTCGGCTTTGCAATTCAAGAAAGGGGTAAAGAGAGGGGAACCCTCTTTTGTGGCCATGCCGATCTACAAAGAAGGGTCGAAAGTAGAACCAATACCCAATGGCGTGAAGAAAGTGTTAGAAGAATTCAAAGAGGTGATGCCAGAGATGTTGCCCAAGGTTCTACCCCCTCGACGAGCAGTGGACCACGAAATTGAGCTACTCCCAGGGGCAAAACCCCCTGCTAGAGCCCCCTATCGCATGGCCCCGCCAGAGTTGGCCGAGCTGAGAAAACAGTTGGATGAGCTTCTACAAGCCGGGTTCATCCGACCATCAAAGGCTCCTTTCGGAGCGCCAGTGCTATTCCAGAAAAAGCATGATGGGAGCTTGCGCTTATGTGTCGACTACAGGGCTTTGAACAAAGTCACCGTAAGAAACAAATATCCTATCCCGCTCATAGCAGACTTGTTTGATCAATTGAGCGGGGCCAAATACTTCTCCAAACTGGACCTGAGATCGGGATACCATCAGGTCAGAATCCTCGAGGGAGATGAGCCGAAGACCACCTGTGTAACACGGTATGGTGCATTTGAATTCCTTGTGATGCCTTTTGGACTAACCAATGCTCCTGCCACATTTTGTACATTGATGAATCAGGTGTTTCATGACTACCTAGACAAGTTTGTAGTCATTTATTTAGATGATATAGTGGTGTATAGCTCCACGTTGGAAGAACATCAAGAACACCTGCGCCAGGTATTTCAAAGGTTACAGGACCATCAGTTATATGTAAAAAGGGAGAAGTGTGCATTCGCTCAGACCCAAATCCATTTTCTCGGTCACATTGTTGAACGTGGCCACATCCGAATGGACATGGAAAAAGTCAGGGCCATCAAAGAGTGGACGATACCGAAGAATGTTAGTGAGCTCCGCTCCTTTTTGGGACTAGCCAACTATTATAGAAGGTTTGTGGAAGGGTACTCTCGTAAGACCACGGCCCTCACGGAGCTACTGAAGAAGGAACATAAATGGTGTTGGACGAACGAGTGCCAGGAGGCCTTTGAGGGATTGAAGGATGCTATTATGAAGGATCCCATCTTAGCTCTCCCCGATATTGGAAAGCCTTTTGAAGTCCAGACGGATGCATCGGATTTTGCTATTGGAGGTGTGCTTTTACAACAACATCACCCGGTGGCATTCGAAAGTAGGAAGCTGAGCGAAGCTGAAAGGAAATACACAGCCCAGGAGAAAGAGCTCCTTGCGGTGGTTCATTGCTTGAGGACTTGGCGGCATTACTTGTTGGGTGCGCACTTTGTCGTGAAGACAGACAACACAGCCGTTAGCCACTTCCTCACCCAACCAAGACTCACGGCGAAACAAGCTAGGTGGCAGGAATTTTTAGCTGAGTTCGACTTTTATTTTGAACATACCGCGGGGAAGACTAATCAAGTGGCGGATGCCTTGAGCAGGCGGCCAGAGTTAGCGGCCCTCAGAAGAATGGCCCCAATGGTGGCTAGCAGAGCCACTACAGACATCCATAAGTTGATTGGAGACCATTTAGGGAAAGACCCGCAAGCCTGTGCCATTTTGAAGCTAGTGGAAGAAGGGAAGTCCAAACATTTCTGGAAAGAAAATGGGGTCTTGTGGACCAAGGGACCTCGAGTCTTTGTGCCAAGAGCAGGAAGTCTGAGACAGATGCTGATGAGGGAGTGTCATGACACCCCATGGGCGGGACATCCGGGCTGGCAGCGCACGTTGGCGTTATTGAAACAAGGTTATTATTGGCCTCAAATGCGACAAGATGTGATGGAATATACGAAGACTTGCCTCATTTGCCAACAAGACAAAGTCGAGAAGAGGAAACCTGCAGGTATGCTTGAACCTTTATCGGTACCTACCAAACCGTGGGAAAGCATCTCCCTCGATTTCATCTCGAGCCTAACCCAAGGTTGGCGATCTTGGAGCTATCTTTGGTGTAATGATCGGTTCTCTAAGTATGCCACATTCATTCCTGCTCCCAAGTACTGTACAGCGGAGGACACAGCTCGACTATTGTTCAAACATGTGGTCAAGTATTGGGGCCTCCCCCAAAACATTGTCAGTGATAGAGATCCTAGATTCACAGGGTCCTTTTGGAGAGAACTTTTCAAGATTTGGGGGTCCCAACTCAACATCTCCTCGAGCTATCACCCTCAAACTGATGGCCAAACAGAACGGTTCAATGGATGTTAGAGGAATACTGAGGCACTTTGTCCACGCCAACCAAAAGAACTGGCCCTCATTATTGGACGTTGCTCAACTCTGTTTTTAATTCCAACAAGAGCTCTTCCACCAACAAGAGCCCATTTGAGGTGATCACCGGACAATTACCAAGGCTACCCCCACACTTCCTTGGAACAATATGGAGGAAAGAATCCCAGAGCATTTCAACCTCAGCAAGGAATGGAAACTAAACACGGAGATCGCACAAGCCTACTTAGAGAAAGCGTCAAAACGGATGAAGAAATGGGCAGACAAGGGTCGTAGAGCTCAGCAATTTCAAGTTGGGGATTTGGTTCTTGTTCGATTAGTCCCTGAACAAACCAGGTTCTTGAGGAAGAGAGATCGCAGATTGGTGCGCAAGTACGAAGGTCCAGTAAGGGTCCTTTCCAAGGTGGGGAATGC